CTCCCTTCCTCCTCCTTCTCCTCCCTCCTCCCTCCTCGCGTCCCTCTCCTCCCTCACCCTCCCTTCCTCCTCCTCCTCCTCCCTCCTCCTCTCGCCTCCCGCCTCCCTCCTCCTCCCTCCACCTCCTCCTCCGTCTCCCTCCTCCCTCCCCTCCCTCGCTTCGTGCCTCTCCCTCCTCCCTCCCCCCTCTCCCTCCTCGCGGTCGCTGACAAAGCGTCTGCTGTCGTTCGTTAAAGCCGTGCTGGTGGATGGTCGCTCTCTGCACACACGGCTGATTGGAGTCTCTCCCTCCTCCTTTCCCTCCCTCTCCTCCCTCCACCCCTCCGCTCCTTCCTCCTCCTCCTCCCTCCCTCCTCCTTCCTCCCTCCCTCCTCTTCTTCTCTCCTACTCCTTCCCCCTTCTCCTCCCCTCCTCCTCTCTCCTCCTCCCTCCCTCCATCCTCCCTTCTTCCTGTCGTCTCTCCTCCCTCCTCCACTCTGGCTCCTCCTCCCTCCCCTCCTATACTGAAGTCATTCATTTTGTTTGCATGAATATAATATAATAATATAATAATAATAACATAATAAATAAATAATTTCAGAGTTCACTATCCAAACAGAAAACCGGAGTTCGGGGGGCACTTGCCGTCTACAAAGATTACGCCTCGCTCTGAGGCGAGCTTCGCCAAAAGAGGTGAGCTCGCTCGGCCTTGATTCGCGACCTGGCCGCCGGAACTTGCCTGACCTTGCGACGCGGGCGATCGGCGCGCCCTTGAGGTGATCCGGACCTTGATGACGACCTTTTTGCTTCGGGGACGAGCGAGAGCAGATCGTGTGTGACCTGAGGAGGAGGAAGGTGTCCCCCAGCGACCCTCATAGGGGACGTTGTGGCCCTAACTGCCCGACCTTGGACCCTAACCGCAAGCCTTGAATTTTGCAGCGCGGATGACCCGGGTTGATCTGAAGACAGTGTGGAGGCGGGGTTGTGCGGTTCTGAACGCTGTGGCTGGGCCGGATCGCCGCACTTCGACACGCCCGAGGATGAAAAGCTCAGTTCGCCGCTTGCACTCCCACCCCAGCGAGGTGAGTCGGTCCGCGTCTCCTCGCGAGAAGTGGTATCTGCGCGCTTACAACCCCGGGGCGCAACGGGTGAGTCGGCTCGCCCTCTCCCGCAAAAAATGTATGTCAGCTCCCCTCTGTAGATCCGTCCCAGCGAGATGTGAGTCGGGGTTCACGCCCACTGTAGCCCCCCACGAAGAGTCAGTCATCTCCACACCCTCGCGAAGAGTGAGTCGGCTCGCCCCCCCCTCCTAAATCTATGATGAGGACGGAAGTGAGGGTTAGAACTGTTGCCACATCTTTAACTCGCAGTGATAGAAAGAAATTATATAATAGAAGAGTGATAAAAGTATGGTGGATTCGCAGCGAGCATTCTTAATTTTTGTTGTGTATATAATAAGACAGGCTTGATAAAATTATGTGGATGGGAGCGGGACGTTTCTTAATTTTGTTGGATATAATGAGACCATAGCATGATGAAATATGGTGGATGGCAGCGGACATTTTTCTTAATGTTGTTCGCTTAATGTTTTTGCTAATATCTAAATCGTTATTTGTTGCTTTCGGGACGCGGTTTTCGAACTGCAGATTCCTTGCGTGCTATCACGGCCGCGAAGTCAACGGCGAATGTGGTATCGATTCCCAATCGACAACAAACGACGTTAACGCGACGCGTACTGACGTGCGAACGAACGAAAACGACGAACATTTCGATTTCTGCGCACGACGGTGCGTACGGTTTCGTAGCGCCATTCTGCATTAAAACCGCGGAGCATGCCGCTTTTGTTTTCTCGGCGCTAGGCGTCCGGCAGCAGGACGCGTCAAGGCCGCCGGCTGCGATTGACATGCGAGCTCGGAAGATTGTTAGAGATAGAAGGTTGGTTTTCTACATGTCGAATATCAAATCAATCTCCAGCTAGGATCCCTTAAGGGGTGGACACACTAGCCGTTTTTTCCGTTGGTCACAAGCCGGCCGGCTGGGTCTGGGAGCTCTGCGGAGCACGACTACACGTGAGCGGGCGGACTCGTCAGTTCCGCCCCCTATGTGCGATTTTTACAGCACGCTGGATGGCTTGATGAATTGTACAAGTCGGCCGGCTCAATCGCAGACCGCGGGCCACACAGCCGATTGCAGCCGGCTCGCCTCAAATAGATTATCAAGACATGTTTCAGATACGGTCGGCTTCAGGGCGGGCCGCTCGGAAAAATCGCGACCCGCGACTGGCGACCGGTGACACTGGACACACTAGCCGATTTTCATGCGTCGAGCCCGGTCCCGGATTTTTCGTGCGGTCGAGCCGTCGGCCGGCTCGTCAGATCCGCAACGAAGAATCAGCTAGGCTGTCACCCCTTTTAAAAGTCGCTCTATATTAGAGACGGACTCAGTGTGCCGAACCCACCTACGGTCGAATAATCAACTCGGATCTTCTTCTCTCCTCCGCCTAGGCACCCGGACCGCCGACAGCCATCTTTACGTGTGTTGAATAAGTCAATCCATCGGTCTCTCAGCTCCTCTCTCCCTCGCCAGCGTGCCACTGACGGGCCGGGACGCCAGCCTACAGGTCGAATAGATCATCAATCTCCTCTCTGTCTCCGCCAGGCACCCGGCGCACGACGCCCTCTACGTGGCCTCGGAAAACATCAATCGATCGTCTCGTCATCTCTCTCTCCTCCAGCGGCCTACCGCCACGCCAACCACGGATCGAAGTAATCAATCAAGATTCCTCTGGTCTCCCAGCGCAGCACGACCGGACGGCCGACGCTTCTACGGGTGTCGAATAATCAATCGGAATCGTCTCTCAGTCTCCTCTGCTTCCAGCGTCCATGTACGCCGGACGCACCTACAGGCGAATTAATAAGATCATCTCCTCTGTGTCTCCCGCCAGCACGCCGGACGCAGAGCGCTCTACGTGTCGAGATAATTTGACGTCGGCGTGATGGGATGGCTGGCGGGCGCCGCGGCGCCGCGCCGGCCTCCGTCAGCGTTGATCGTTCGCTGCAGCGGTCCAGCGAGGAGGGGCGGCGAGAGCGCCTCAGTCTGGCGTCGTCTGCAACCTAGCCGGCGGCGCATGAAGGGGGTGGAGTCTCACGGGGATGCGTGCTTGCGCCCTCATGTACGGTATCAGGAGGGGGAGGTTTGGAGGCGGGGAGGAGAGAGGTGGATCGGGAGGAAGGTGTCGCCAAGTGTGAATAGGTGGGAGGGAGGGTGAAGGTAGAGGTAAGGTAGGGAGGGCAAGGGGAGGAGCTGGTAGGAGGCCCGCGGAGGTGAGGGAGGGGTGGAGGGGGTGAGGGAGTAGGAGGGGGTCGGAGGGGTGGATCGTAGGAAGGAGTGTGAGGGGAGGTAAGGAGGGCGGGGGTGTGAGTAGTGTGGTGTTGTTGGATTTGTGAGGGGTAGGGTAGGAAGGGAATCCCGAGCTACTCCTTTTAGTGGACGGGTGAGGAGGTTAGGGGCGCAGTGTGAGGGAGGAAGGAAGGGGAGGTTTAGGAGAGGTAGGGGGGGGAGGGTGCAAGGTAGAGGTAACGGTTAGGAGGGAGGGGAGGTAGGAGGGGGGAGGGAGCAGAGGGTAGAGGGTAAGGTAGCGAGGAGGCAGGGTGGGTAAGGTAGGAGGGGATGGACGGTAGGAGTCGGGAGGGGGAGGGTAGAGGTAAGTAGAGGGAGGCAGGTGTTAAGTAGGAGTGAGGTGAGAGGAGGGTAGGAGGGGCGGAGTGAGTGCGGAACAGTGTGAAAGCGTGAGGAAGGTGGGTCGGAGGATTCGTTAGGGGGGGAGTGCACGGAGCGTTTAGATGTAAGGGATTAAGAAGGGAGGCAGGGTGTAAGTTAGGACCTACTCAGTGCAGGGAAGGTGAGGGTAGGGGGAGAGGGGGAGAGGCGTGGGAAGGTAGAGGAGGTAAGCGGGGAGGAGGAGAGACCAGTGGTATAGTACAGGTAGAAGGGAGGCAGGGTGTAAGGTAGGGTGGGAGGAGAGGTAGGAGGGGGAGGGGGAGGGAGAGGGAAGCTGGGGGGAGGGTAGCAGAGGGTAGAATGAGTAAGGTAGGAGGAATGGCAGCCGGTCGTCAAGTAGGCAGGGAGGCGGACTGTGAGGGGGGAGGGTGAGGGTAAGCATATGGGATAGGGAGGTCGTGTGCTCCTTTTAGTACGTAATTTATTTCGCTTTATCTACTTCGTAACTTATTCGTTTCTACTTTCATTCCGTTTTCATGTCATTTATCGTATTCATTTGGCTTCATGCATTCCTAATCGTCTCTTCAGTTTCATTCGTGATTGCTTCCACTTCACTTTACGGCGGTCGAACCGTTTCGCCACAGAAGCGAGCCTCGCCAGGTGGAGCACTGGAGTACCTGCAGCAGCGCGCCCTCGGTGACAGGGGCTTTGTCAGATGAACTCCGAGGCAAGGCGACAGAGCCAGCGAACAACTCAACCCGAAGAAGAAGATTTGGCAGAAACTTCAGGTCAGCTAATCGAAATCATTGAGGCCGTTCGAATGAAACCATTCTCTAAAAAGATCTCTCTCTCTCTGTCGTCTCTCTCTCTCTCACGCTCTCTCTCTCTCTGCACACGACCTCTCGTCTCTCTCTCTCTTTCTCTCTCTATCTCTTCTCTCTCTGGCTCTACTCGTCTTTCTCTCTCGTCTCTCTCTCTCTCGCGCTCTCTTCTCCTCTCTCTCTCTCACGCTCTCTTCTCCTCTTTCTCTCTCTCTCTCTCTCTTGGCTCTCTGCTCTACTCTCTCTCTCTCTCTCTCTCTCTCCTCTCTCTTGTCTCTCTCCTCTCTCTGCGCCCTCTCTCTCTGTCTTCTCGTATCTCGTCTCTGCTCTCTCTCTCTCTCTCTCTCTCTCTCTCTGTCTCTTCTCTCGCTCGGCTATCGCTCTCTTCTGCTTTTCTCTGTCTCTCTCTTTCTCTCTCCTCTCTCTCTCTCTCCCTCTCTCTCTCGCTCTCTCTCTCTCTTCCTGCGCTCTCTCTCTCTCTCTCTCTCTCTCTCTCTCTCTTCTTTCTCTCTCTTTGTTCTTCACTGGCCGCTCTCTCTCTCTCTCTCTGTCTCTCCTAGTCTCGTCTCTCTGTCCTCTCTCTCTCCTCAGCGCGCTCTCTCTCTCTCGCGTCGGCCGCTCTCCTCTCTGCTCTCTTTCTCTCTCTCTCGGTCTCGCCCTCTCCTCCTCTCTATTCTCTCTCTCTCTCTATTTCTCTCTTTATTTTCTCTCTCTCTTCTCGGTCTCGTCTCTCTCTCTCTCTCTCTCTCTCTCTCTCTTAAGCCTCTCTCTCTCTGTCTCTCTCTCTCGCCTCTCTCTCTCTCTCTGCGCTCTCTCTCTCTCGCTCTCTTCTCCCTCTCGTCTCTTCTGCCTCTGCTCTCTCTTTCTCTCTCTCTCTCTCTCTCTCTCTCTCTCTCTCTCTCTCTACACATTCACGTTCTCATTCTCAGTGTTTCCCTGTTATTTTTCCCTCCCCTCCAGGTGGACATGAAGATCTCGCAGGACTGTGCGGCAGAATGGCAGGGCAACGCGTTCGTCACCAAGCTGGGCGCGGTTACCTGCAAGTCCCTCAAGGGGGCGCCGGTAAAGTGACGCGCCGCCGCTGCCGCGTCCCGTCGATTGCGGGATTTCGTTGAACCCGGGGGTTCCGACATGGGTTCCGCGGAAAGAAAACTGGAATGTCCTGACATTTTTACGATGCCGTGTTCGAGGGCTTGGAGGTTGGCTAAGCGCCTCTTGGCTATCGAGTTGGCTGTGCCCTGGAAAGCCTTGGAAAATAGCCTATAGTCCTGGATAGTCCTGGAAAATAGCCTGTAGTCCTGGATAGTCCTGGAAAATAGGATAAAGTCATGGATAGTCTTGGAAAATAGGCTATGATTCTAAAACATAAAAAAATTAAGCACGTTTTTCTGACATGAGTGGCTATTTAATTGCTTCGCGCAATAAACATCGCGGTCGTGAAAAATTGACCTTCTAAGAATCTAAGTGATGAAAAATGTCTGGAAGTTGCGGTGGGGGGGGGGGTAAAAAGTTTGGCCCAAGGCGAACGAAACCCCGGTTGACATTGTGACGCACAGGTTCGGGTTTCTGCCCTTCATGAGATTTTCTGATTTTAAGCCTCGGCAAGCACTTACTACGGATTAGACGGTATATACGGTATAAAGCTAATAATTCTGTTGTTTCTTTCGGCTTTTTATATGTGGTATCATGTTTGGAATGTGTCTATATGTAAATGTAGATATATATATATATATAATATATGTATATATACTATACATGTATGTGTTTACGAGGTTGAAATAAAACATGTGGTGAGGAGATATAGCCAGACGTTTATGTGCATTTATATTGTAATTGATTTTAAATTAATTAAGTTGGCGTAGCCAGGTGGGGGGGGGGGCGATGGGGGAGGTTGCCCCCCACCTAAGATTTAGAAGGCTACCTTATTTAAACCGGCAGCAGGACTGTTTCAAGTCGATAAAACATGCCAACAACATGCACCCGCCCCCGCCCCCCTTAGATTAAATCCTGGCTACTCCACTGCGTCCTTCTGATAGCATATCTTATCAATGTGCAATCAAATGTATGAGTCTATGCATTTCTCGATGGCCCCTGCACATGGACTCGCCTTGGCATTTTGATTAGCTATGAGAATGACCTATATAGCTACTGGGAGAAAAAATAGGAAACGGTACGTGCGGCAATTTATATTTGGATTGTTACAATAATTAACGCTGTTACTAGTTTGCCGCCTCGCGGTCGATAACGTAAGAGCTTTGAACATATATAGATATTAATGAGAGGTTGGTAGAAAGAAGAAAAACGCCAAGTTGCCTGCATAGAGTCGATAGTATAAATTAACCCAGCGTAAAGCTTTGATGTAACATGTATCACTCAGTACTATATATGTATCACTCAGAAATTTTATTATTTAAATTAACTGCTCAACACTATTGCATTTATCAGATTTTTTCTTCATGAAAAAGATTTTCTTCATTACATGTATTTGTAGTTGACTTACATGCAGTAAAGATTTAATAATAATAATAATAATACTAATAATAAACAGTTGTTGGTTCTTTATGCTGACCTTTCATCTGCTGTGTCAGGCAGTGAATAAAAGTAATCACTTATTCCTTACTCCCCTCTCGCGGATGGTATCGCCCACGACCAGTCAAGCATGGAAAAACTTTTGCTAGTAAATGGCCGTATTTCAGCCGAAACTTTTTCACCCTGCGATGCACAAAATGTGAATTTACGCCTATAATACACGCACATGCGTGCGTGCGACCATACCCGCGTGTGCGCGACCGTTAGTGTGTGTGTGTATGTGTACGTGTGTTTGTCTGACTGTAAAAGCACGTATTATTCTCGTATAATCATATTTTGTGCTTTGGGGGGAGGGGGTGAAAATGTTGAGGCTGAAAACCAGCCATTTGCCTGAATAAAATTCACCGTGCTAACGAGGTCGTAGGCGATACCATTTGGGAGAAGGGGATCACTTATTCCCGAGAGAATATAACGATATTATAACCTGATAGGACAATTAATCCATTTAGGAATCCATTGCCATTAAGGGTCATATTCTCCTTGTCCAAATCTTTACAAATAATATATAATTTAATCCAAAACTCACAGAACAGCATCTGCTAAAACTAGTTTGTTTTCCCTCTTTTTAGGCATGGGTGGCATATGTCTAATATAAGATTATTTACATTCATTCGAAGTGACATGCACCAAGATGTAGTTGCATATACGAATAATTATTATACATGCGCGTGCATATATATATATATAGCATCAAGATCTGATAATATATGTATTTTTAGCACTCGACAGTATCTGTGTGCGTGCATTTACACCAACCATTTAATAGGTCATACATATTAGCAAGAGTACATAATCTCTATAAGGCCATTGCCACATTATTTATTGTAATAAAATTTATGATATATGTACATTTAACTACAATAAATGTGTTGTTGCTCTACGTTAATGATTTAATTTTACACGTGTTACCAGTACGAACGCATCTATTTCGTACAAGTTGTTGACAAGTAATGCATTTCATCTATACCGTACTTTACGATATGTTACTTAACATATTATGATCTTAACAGGTTATGATATTTTCCAAGTAGTGTAGATTATAGTATAATTTTGCATCGGGCGATTTCAAATCAACTACTCTTTCATTCAATCTCATGGATATAGCAACACTCTCCATTCCTCTTTGGTAAATTGCAAATTTGAGGCTTTTTCTACTGCAATCTGCAGTGTTGATCCATCAATATGACCAACTTGTCTCTTTCTTTCTGTCTTCGATATATAGTGCCTTGGATTTTGAAGACTATTATTTACGAGGTTACTCTGCCAGTGATTTGCGGCACAGCCAACAGCACAACAACGAAAAGAGAAACGAAGCAGACTCGTGAAAAAAATTTTTTTGTAAATAATTAATTTATTTTTCCTGTCACATCAAAATCTCATCACCGCTTCCCGCCGACCTTGGGAGCCTTGACCTTCATCGGCTTTGCCGCCTTCTCCATCTTCTTCGCCTGGGGCTGCAAAAGAGAAACGACGAAGAACCGCATCGTTAATTAATTACACGGCGAACTAACGAGTTAGCGAACCACACGACGCAACCCACGTGAATTTTCGACCAACGACTAACGGAGGACCGCAGGGTTAAAATTTTGGTGACGTTCGTTAGTTATGTTTCGCGTCGCTTGCCTCGACGCAACTCGAGTTTCCACGAATTCCCACGCGCCCGGCAACGACGAAGGAGTCCAGCCGACTACTCGCTTAAATTCCAAGGGGAGGGGGGAAGAAAGTTAAAAACACGACCTTTTTTGAAGCATATTATCAGGAGTAGATAATAGGGATTATATATACTCTATTACCCTATTATATACCCTACTTATACTTATATACCCTATTATCTACTCCTGATCTTATTCATCCCACAGTGACTGTGTAGTGCCAGAGTGCATATATAATGTGACTTAGAATTTCAGATAGAAAAACCGTGTTCGGAAAAATAAGTAACGTTTCAAAACTATGCCAACTGTGTTGTTATACCAGAGTGCATATATAATGTGACTTAGAATTTCAGATAGAAAA